GGCGAAAGTGCTGAGAAGCATCTATGCCCACTCAACTTTGTCTACACTGTCATGACTTTAGAAGTTCACTGTCTTCACTAACATAGCTTTAGTATTCCTCTGTCTTCATCATCATGACTTTATTATGACTTCACTGCTCATTCCAGAAACTTCCTGAAAGCCCATTTATATGAACATCAAACAGTTCGATTACTCAATAGATAGCATCAAACAATTGCATTCCCCCAAATTCTTTAAAACCCTTCCCTCAAAACGTTCACCTTGCCATGCCTACCAATCCTAGACCATTATATCCTCCTCCTTCTGCAATTGCATTCAAGTCCTTTCCCCGCTGAGATGCTACAAAATCTCTGGCAAATAGTGTTCTCCCTTCCTACTTTTACAATTACGCTCAGCTTTGTCTTATTAACAGGGTGTCTGATGCTTGGGGAACTAGCAGGCATGCTTAATGGAGATTCCTGAGCATGACCTGTAGAACTTCATATGTGGTAGGTCTGGGAAGGACCTATTCAGACTCCAGGTGATTCTGAGGAAGGCGATATAAGAACAATTTACTGCTTTAACACCTAGTTATGTTTAACCTTACAAAAAACAGTTAAGATTAAATTAACTAAATAATTAGTTTCGGAGGCTAGGCCAATTGCAGTGGCATGTACTCTGATCCCCATTATTCATGGATTTGGTTCTAACCTGCCCCCACTCAGGAACGCCACTTAAACAATTTATTTATAGATATAAAACCCAAGAATAGTGATGCTTGATAACAAATCTCAGGAGGATCCATTCACATTCACAGTGCACATTTCCAATACATGCTTTCTAGGACTCTTCTTTTTGTTATCAATCAAATGTGGGAAATGAATTTAATAATCAGTGTGTGTTTGCTCAATACATTAAAGAAATAGATTTAGAAAATAATTCAAACAGGTTATGACAGTCTAGAGCATTGTTTTACTATATATATATACATATATTTGAAAGCTTATGAATAGATCTAGATGGATATATGACAGAGTTTTTACCTGCATGCAAAGAAGTCCTATCTCAAAAGAAAAGATCTTTTGGAGGATAGAAGCTAAATGGTATTTATTGCTCAATTTATTACATGGAAGTCACATTCTGATTACACAATGTTTTTATCAGTTTTAGCAGAAACCAGGAATTTCCATTACTAACTAAGCAAATAATTAACAAAAAATGGGATCTCAGGAACCAATTTTGGATACCCCAGTCCATTCTAGATCCTGTTGTTTTTGTAATTATTGTCTGGTTTAGTAGTGCCTGCTACTCATGATTCATCTAGGAAGACATGAATTTTAGAACTAGAAATCATTTTTCTTGAGAGATGTTTTCTGAACCAAGGACAGAGCTAAGTTGAGGGCAAACTGTCTTGATTCTGACCTATGTTTTAGCATCTCTCTCGTGTTAATGACAGGAATATATTGGTTGGCACGCAAGGTTAGTTTCCATTTTCAAATCTTGAATTAATACTGATAATTGTTTTACTATTCATTTATCATTTTTCTGGACTTCATGGGATCACTACCTCTATATATTTGCAAAATTAAAACTTATGGCATTGATTTAACATCTGATGTGTACACTGCAGGGTGGCGATAGGTAAGAGGCAAAGTGTTCCGTGGTAAAATGCTTTAGAAATGCAAAGTGATATATAGTTAGGCAGGTTGCTTAACTTCTTAAAGCTTTTGATATATTCATGTGCATTGTAAATCTCTAAGGGCATTAGAGCATGATTTCTCAAAACTATTTAACCAGGGAATTCTTTTATTGGGGAAATACTGCTACACACACTGCATGTTAAGTGATGACTGTGATGTCTTCTTAGGACTCTTACTATCAGCAGTAAGCACACTGAAATAGCACAGTGATATTTTGGGGATAGGATTCTATAGGTGATGGTTCAGTTCATACTTTTTTCTTGAATTGCACCCCTACATTTGGGTACACATCTTGTGGGGATCTAGAATGCACTATACATTCTGACAGGGACCTATTAACCCTCCTTCCAGCTCCCACCACTATTGCTGTAACCACTTGCCTATTGTTGGGCTCATCCATTAGATTAGCGACTTCCTCCTGACGGGGTTTGTTCCCTCTGTTTTTGGCGACAAACTGTGCTGTGCACATCCCTGGCACTTGGAAATTTTGTTTTCCATGCAGTTACAGCCACTAAATTTCAAGTCAAGGCAGGGTTTTGATTCATGGTTAATATCCTCCAGTTAATCATAAGATCCTGTTTACCTTTTAAATTTTATTGTCATCATTGACATTTTGGGGATATGGTATCTAGCATGCATTTTGTTTTGTGCTAAGCAGCATTTATATTAGGCATCATTGACAATATAAACCTGCTTGGTGCAGGTAGGTCTGGAGATAGGGGAACAGGAAACAGGGGGATAGTGTGGGGCAGGGGTGAGCTTTTAAAACTATCCTCGCAGACATCCTGAGCAGCATATGTGGTTGTCAACAGTTTCCCACGGGGTAAACGCAGCTCACAAGATTCAGAGTATAATGAATAAGGCTGTTCTAGATTTTGATAGTCTCACTCGGGTCAGATTTACATTACAATGACTCAATTCTTTCCAATAGTTTTATAATGTCGTTTTATTTTATCTAAATTAAAAAATAATTGATTTCAGTAAATATTTTAAAAAATCAATATTTTCATTCTTCTGAAAAATGATCTAAAAAAAGTAGTATCATTAACTAACTCTAATTGCATCCCAGAGAAGCCTGGGAACTCTTCTCATTCAATTATAAATTCAGAACTTGTGCTTTCTGGACTGAAGACAGAGCTAGCTGAGGGCAAATTGTCAATTAACTTTTCCTAATTACCCACATACGAAATTCAAAACAGTACCAAAAAATAAGCTGCCTGTAAAAGTATATCTGAATCCAAGCATACACTGCAAATATTACAAAATATGAAAACTACCTTCAAAATGAGGGATTAGTACCTAGTTGGTGAGTTTATACAAAGTGCAAATAAATTGCATGTTTCTCAACAGATGCTTGGCAGGGTCACGATATCACACGTGCCTACTTTAGTCAAAGTGAAGAACCTTCTATATATTGTGTTCTTCCAGCTGAAAATTAACAATTCAGTTTGAACACATTTCTTCTCAGCCATTTATAATAATACCCCCCTTTATCCTATTTCTCATCTACATTTTTTTCCTTTCTTGTTTTTATTTTTTCTAATTTTATTATCTGTCCTGAGGTCGTCTTCTCAGAGGATTTTGGGCAGACACATGCTAAGTTTCCCTACCGGTTTCTTTCTGAAATTGTATTAGTCTGCGGGGAGGGGGCTAATCTTTTTGACCTTTGTTTTAAAAGATAGTCTGGTAAAAAGGCCACTTCCTTCCTATTCCGTTGAAGCAGTGAGCATGATGCCTAAGGAAACATTCAGGCCAAAGCCCTCTGCTTTGCCATCCTCACATTTACATGGTAAACCTGAAGGCCCCTCACTGTAGCTATATATATCCTGTGAGTCTCCAATTTCTCTCACAAAAGAGGTGGAATCTTGTCCCCATACCTAGCCTCGTAATGGGCTTTGACCAACAGAATTCAATAGAAGTGATGGTATGCTGGATCTCAGCAAAGCCCTCCATTTGCATGCCCATACTTCTGCCATTGCCTGAGAATATACCCAGTTAGCTTGCTAGTGAATGAAAGAACCCAGCGGAGTTGCCCCAGTCATCCCCATCTAGCGATCCCACAACACTCAACAGCTGGTCAACCCCACACGGGTGAGCAAGTCCAGCTGGGATAGAACAGTCTTGCAGAGCTCAGATGAACCTCACATCCCATGAGCTAAATAAATCCTTATTACTGAGGTTTTTATGGCTGCCATGCTGTATTGTGGCAATAGATAATACCACAGGGAGTGACTATAATGTGATTGTGATTGGCTCCTGGCCCCCATCGCAAGCTTACTGTCACTGAATCAGCCTCACAAAAACACAAGCTGATGTTTATGTTAATGAAGTTTTTGAACCCTCCTTACAGTGTTAGGTGGTGTGTTACTCTATTTTCATTCAATTCCCAACTAATGAATTAAGAAAGACCTCTGAAAAAGTTGGTCCATTTAAACAGGTGAATGATGGTGGTGGTGGTGTTGGGGGGACGGGAGATATCCAAGCAGAAACTACATTCTTCACACACACACACACACACACACACACACACACACACACACACACACACACAAATCTCAATGACAGAGAGAACTAACAACCTGAAGACTTAATACAAAAATCAAAGTTTTCATTTGTTCTCACTTCCATTTTCAACTACCTACTCAGCAGGAGGTTCCTAGAAATCAATAATTGCTTCCTTAGAAATGCTTGACGTGAATATTACTTTGGGGTCAAATAGGCTTTTAAAATGTATGTTCTTTAGAATGTATCAGTTTTCTTTAACAAATTATATGTTTGGGGATTTTTCTATTTCATAGATAGCTTTTACCTTAATAATCAAGTAACATGATTCTCAACACTACTTCCCATGGGATGGTTTTAGAGATGGATTCAACTTAACTAGCAGAGTGGTTAAAATCCAGTACACACATAAACAGCACATTATTTAAGAGGATAAAGCTAAAAGATTTGAAAGGGTAATCGGCTACTTACCAGCAGCACCTGTTATTAAAACAAAAAATCAATAGGCTTCCCATACATGTTTTCAACAGCCAACCTTATTTTTGGCCTACCAATGAAGTCTTGTATCTGTAAAGGAAATTGAGAATGATATATATGAAAAAAGAAGGGAACAGAGTGTGGGGGGAAGAGAGAGTGAGAGCGAGAGAGAGCAAAAGAGAGAATCTATTAATGTGAGAAATCTATTAATATGAGAGAAAATGCAGGAAAATATATAGATTTATCAGGATATAGGCTCTCTTTATATTTTATTTTCATAAATGTACATTCAAAGCTCAGATTCATCCTATCAGTGAACACAGCTGAAGCATATCAAAGTCATCTTGTGTTAAAATTAATTTTATTCAGGATGAAAAATACAACATGTAACCAGATTAGATGATAGTCTATGATTAGTTCTTTACCACAGATTTCAAAAGAACTACATACTTATTTCCCTTTGTTTTTACTGCAATATATTTCTTTTAATTTATTATTACACAGAAGGTTACAATGTAGTGTTTTGTGTAGTTTTTCCTTAATAGCAGAGAGAGGACGTGTTGCACACAATTACAGGCAGAAAAAAATTAATACATAGCTTTTCAAACTAAGAACAAGGAAGACACCAAATCTACAACTTGTAGTTCAGAGTTCAGGGAATTTCTGTTTTCTTTAAATAGGTAATTTTCTTGGGTATGATGTGGCCTGATAAAAGCTCTAGATTTTGCAGACTATAGCGGCATAAAGCTATTTCCAACACAATGGATGAAGATGGATTTGAGGTAGAAAGGTGGTCATGGCTTTCCTCTTGTATAAAACAATTTTCTTCTTCTCAAAATATCTATGCTGCAAATAGACACCCTTGCCCCCCAACCCACCCAACCTATTCTAAAAGAATAGGAATTTCTAACTTTAAGCCTCCTTCTGGCCAGATCCCAGTAAAAGAGAACCCAAAGTCAAAATGTCCTGATGTTTTAAAAGCACATATACTTGAATCAAAACACGTTAAATTTTTTTTTTTTTTGGTTTCTCTACGTTTGGTAATTATGTAACATGTTTAAACTGAATCAATTAAATGCGAAATCAGAAGCTGAACCAAATGCCTAATTGAATGCACTCAAAGTCTAGGCAGGGTCTGAACATCTAAGCATGAATTTCCTTCTTCTGAAGAAGCAGTGACATAGGCTTTTGATAAACATCCTCCCCAAATGTATGGACCACAGGAAGGCTAATAGAACATCTGTTCATTTACCCAAAAGGTAAAATGAGACGTGCATTAAATTTGTGTCTGCTTTCAGAAAGAAAATAACTGGGAGTTTCAAGAATTATAAAGGGCTTAAATATACATAAACAACAATAAAATTCTCTTCGAAGGGAATGGAAGGCAACAATGTGTTCCGGTATTACAATTAGGTCAAGTTCTGCTGTGTACTTAATGATGAAAATCAAGACCCGGGAACTAGGAAAGGCTGTGCCAAGGGGTTGTTTCTATGGCAAAATGAAAGTATGCTTAAATGGGCAACCTTTGGTAAAACGATCTTTGAGATTACTATAATCCTGCTTTAAGTCTCCATCATATAAAGTGGGACATGAAATAAATAAAGAAATCAAGAGCATTTAGAAAGAGCAAGAAAATAAAATGCAGGGAGGAAAAAGAAATTACCAGGAGAAATGCCAGTTAGGCCCACAGGATTCGGATTGTGGCTATCCAACTGGTTGCTAAAGAAGTAAGTGTATGATGTCAAATAAAGTTAAGCAGTATACACAGAGCTGTAGCCTAACACATACACATAGAATATAACTGACTGAAATATATAAACTTATTAATTTGGCCAAACCATGAAAACAAATACAGGAAATCTATTTGGTCATGTGGCTGATGAATTATAAATAACCAAAACATAATGGTGAAAGTAGCTGAAGACATAAATGAAGTTATGGTACAAGGTTAATATGAAGGAATGTAATAATGTAACATTGTCTTCTAATTCGTATGCAATTTCTGCCATGGTTATTAAAAAGAAGGTATCATAATAGAAAGCCCCCACCCGCTTTCCCAATGCTGTATACAGTATACAAATCAGTGACAAATGTATTATCATTTCCAAATACCACTCTGTTCATCAATTTACAGTTGCATAGAAAGGGAAGAAAAAAACAATAATACATGATTTTTATAAAAACCAAAATATCCTTTTCTCTTTGGATAGTCAGTGTTTTACTCCTTCAGTAGAACACAGTCAGCACGCAACAGCATGTTTCAAGGAGCCATGGAACTTCTGATTAAATGGAGCTTGGACCTGGCATTTGCTGGAAAGGGCGATAGTGTAAGTCAGGAAATGTTGCTTGGCTAGATGAATACTTCACATTGCCTGCAGGAAGGGAAAATAGCATGGTCAGAATGACATTGACTTTAACCATTATAGGTAGCCGAGACCTGTCAACTCTCCAAGGGAAAAAAAGTGCTTCTTTCAAAACTAGTCAAACCCTCTCCTGCGGTGTTCAAAGGCGACCCTTTGCTCCCTGGATGAGATCCTTTCCTCTCATCTTGACGTCACCTAGTCTATTACCCATGCAGCCGAGATAGAGGAAGTGTGGAAGACTTTTCTCTTGCCCAGGCTGGAAATCAAGTTAAAATTGAGGGGACTTGGCTTTTCCTTGCTGGAGGTGCTAATGGTCAGTGAATTAGGCTGGTGCAAGCACCCCATCTCTCCCTGGGGGGGCTGTGAGAGGTCTCCTGCAGAGGGGGTTCCCGTGACAATCCCAATCAGTCTGAGTCCCCAACTGGGGTTCAGACAAGAGGAACGCAAGAGAGACATCGCAGTCTAACAGTGCGCAGTGGTGTCCATCAGAGGCTCAGGACCAATGTACACAGGCAGGAGAAGACAAACCTGGGCCACCCTCGGGGGATGGATTCGACCTTTTCAAGGGGAGGTCTAACAGGTGGTGTTTTAAAAGTATTTTGAAGTTGGAATACTTTTTTAAAATTACCTTAAAAAGGAATAATCCAGAACTGGGGCCACACCTCCTCAATGCCAAGAGGCCTTTCAGGAACATGCAGAAAAGACACTCCTCGATTTGCCCTTATTTGATGGAGTACTTTGAAAGGGGTGAAGCCCTGCTTGCCTCTGGAACTGTTCCTAGCAGACTGTCTAGAAAAGCTGCCCAAGGGGCCCTTCTCCTCCCAGCGATGCCAGAAGCCACAAAGTCACCTTGACTCTCAACTAGAGCTTATTGTCCATTGCTATTAAAATTTGGATTCTTCAGAAACCTGCTTCTATATTTTGAACATTTCACTGCCGTGTCAGAGGGGGCAAAATGTCAGCAAACTCTGATGGTGTGCTCACTGGGACGTGTGGGGCTCCTGGGTACTAGGTGAGGCCCTCAGAGTGAGGTGGGTGAGAGAGGCACCTCAACAGTGTACTCTCATTCGACTCCCAGAGCAAGGAAGTGCCTGCGGCAGTGTGATCCAAGTACACTGAGAACAGAGGAGAGGAATTACTTCTACCAGGGAAAGGAGCATGTTGGTGCATATTAACTAAAACTTTGGTGCTGATTCATGTTGAAATAAAGGCTAAAAGGATTTTTTTTTCACTATTTCTACGTACTTTATTATCCTTGTCTATTTACAGTTTAATAAATGTCTGCTAAATAGGGCACAATCATTCTCATTTTAGCTGTCAGAATTCTAAAAATTTAAGTCTACACAATGTACATATTCACACAACCATCCAGGTGAAAACATACATTTTTCATGAATTTCCGATATGGAAAGTGAGGGGAAGAGGAGCAAATGTTGCTGGGAAAGAAAAGAAATAAAAGGAATATAGAGAGAAGAAAAAAGGGGCGAAAGGGGCCTCCTAGAATGAGTGAAATGTTTGCTGCACCAAATAGCTGTATAAACCAGGAGCATTTGAACTCTTTTTAAACTTAATTTCTTAAAATCTAAAAGCAAAGTAGGGGGAGAAGTTCTGGAAGATCACTTTCAGCACTTTTATTGTAAAGTATTAGAGGGTTTAAAGGAAGGTCCCCTCTCCCCTTCCTGACCCCCATCACTCACGGCCTCGCCCCGACCCTGGGACCATCAGTATTCATCTCATCATGTTCTTTATCTTTATTTGATAATGGGCCACCATGATATGCTCCAGGCTACTGGTCACCTTTCCTCTCACGTGCTCTGTTCCATATAGAGATCTGCACACCCCTTATTCTGTGCCCATGTGCCCTCCTCCCCGGTTCTTGAATCCCTTCCCATGTGCCCTCTACACCACATGGTCCATCCTCATTAAAACCCATATTCTCAACCTCTTCTGCGTCTTCCACTTGCTTGCTCTATTCAGTATCTGGATCTCCCCTGACGACACAGGCTCCCTCATTACCCTCACACACATCTGTGACTGTTTTTTCCATCTCCCACACTCCTCATAGATTGGATAAGTCCCTCTTAGGTCCTCCTTGTGTTTCTTATGACATTTTTTTCTCTCTCATCCCTAAAAACACCCTTGAATGTCATGCCAACAGACTATGCCACCCACTATGCAGGCACCTTCTGACACCTGGGGTCATGTTCCCTTACTTCTTGAAGGACAAATGGCTCACTGTCACCAAGTTCAAGGCTATTTTTAAATCTTCATGATGTCAACACCCACACAGATGATTCTTCTAATACTCTGACCTCTCAGCTCCTTGAGCTCCTCTCCTCTAATGACCTTCTCAGCCACTCACTCAGTCTCAAATATGGACCATTACCAATACCTGTAGTCCCTCCAACATTTGAATTTCAATGATCCCACCTCCTGACAACCACCTCTACCTTTCCAGCTTACTTCTACTAGGGCGCAACTTCATCTATCCTCCCATACTACAATTGGTTCTCCCACATTTTTTTCTGTCTTCTAAGGCCTCATTTTTCTCCCTACCAAGCTTAGATGGCTGGTTCAATCATTATTATCATTCCTTTGATTCTTCCCTTGAATTGCTGTACTCTCTTGGCCAAACCACGACTTCAGCTTTGGTTAAACTGCAATCCTCGGCCTACCTGATGCCTGTGCTCATGAACTTGATGTGGCTGGAGGGCAACACACAGCCCTACAGATCAACCTTATGTTATATTCATGAATAGGCACCTTAATTGGTGTCCTTGAATACTGCCTGGCAGGCAGCAACACTCTATTCCAGAGTCTAGGTGCTCTCTGCTCTCCGAGCAGCTACAGCACATCCTCTAGTCTCTCTTCACACCTATGACACCTCCTCCCATCCTCACTCTTTGCTGCAATCCCAGCTTCTGGTCCACTAAGAGAACAGAAGCAATCAGAAGAGGTCCACTGCCCTCTGGGATGAGGTCCTTCTGTCTCATGAGCTCTCTCACACCACATCCATTTAATCCATTTATCTACTTTATGTCTTTCCTCCAGTTACTAAAGACAAACTGTCTGTGTGTCTCATTAAGATCTCAGCCCCTCTCATCAATAAGACAAGAACACAATCAGAAGGTTCAATGTTTCAAAAAAGATGAATAAACAAGTTCATGGAAGAAAATTTTCTCCAAAGATCTGTGGTCTTGTGGCACAGTATTACTAACAGTATCAGATAAGGAAAATACTGAAAGGCATAAGGCTGTGGCTGCCAACAGCTTTCAGCAAATTTTGAAATGAAAAATCAAGACTTTTTCCCTTTCAAAGGAACAGAGCCACCTTTGTGTTCAGTTCCAATCACTGTTTTTAAGTCAACGGTCTGTGATAGCCGCCTTAGGTAGATATCCGAGAGAATAGTGGCCAGCCAAATCCATCTAGGCTAACTTTCCATCGTGCCTGTGAAGTTGTTAAAAAGTTGTTAGAACGCAAAGGATCAAGCACCGGTATTTTGGGCAGAACTGGAAGAACTGGCTTGGGAGGGGTTCCCCCTCCTCTGACTGACAAACTGGTGTACAGAATCTAACAGTAAATGTTAAGTAAGTTCACTTTAGACAAGAGGAATAAAGTAGCACTAAAATGGATGGTGGCTAATCTGCTTTTTCTAGCTTGTAATCAGCAACACCTCAGCCAATCAAACTGAGGACTTAAAAGACCTTTAGTATCATAATATGTGGCCCAACATGGGGGTTTTTGCAATTTGAACTCTGAGGCCGCTTACAGAGCGTGACTCTGCTCCTGGGACCTGGAAACTGCCTGAAAAATGAACTGTCACTTCGTGCTATTTGATTTCTGTTGGGTAAGTAGCCCAAAAGCTTTTGTGCTACAAGCCTGGACCAGAACCAGGATGCTGATAAGTGGCTAATCATACACGACCCGTTGTTCTCATCTCACAGCCCCACTTGCTTGCCCACTGAGTCAGCCAACTGTTGAAAGTCCAGCTGCCCCCACCAATCCGAAAACGAATGATGTGCTTTTATGGTCTGGCTTCCCCTAGCAATCCATCTCTTGATCATCAGCTCCTTGCAGCTTTCGCCTTTAAACATCTTGCCCTATCCCCGCCATTTCAGAACCTGTCTTCGGTTCAAACTGAGGGCTTTGTCCCTGATTTGCAAATCATATACGAATAAAACTCTGTTAATTTCTTTTGGAATTTTTGTTAATAAACCCATGAACTCTTACCTGTGGCCTGCTGGGGAGATTTGCTGAAAAGAGAAAACAAAAGAAATCAGTTGAAGGTGTACTGCTGCTTGGCTGGTCCCCCCTCTCAAGTCATTCTCAACATCTTAAATGAATACTAATAATAAAATAAGAAACAGTGTTTGTTTTTGCCTAAATGCTTTAACAAGGGCTAGTTTTCCTAGTTTCTCATATCCCAAGTACTTTTAAGATACAAAAATTTCACCAAAATCTGCAAAACACATGCTGGCTGTCTCAAATAAGAACACAATAAAACATTCAATGAGTCCTTAGTTTTGTAAAAAACAACAACAAAAAAAACCAACCTCCCCCCGCAAAATTGCCCATTAAAATATTGCCATGTATTTGGTTTATGTATCAGAACAGAGCAAATTCTGTGTATTTTGCTGAATAGTACTTCTGACCAAGAGGTCATTAGGGAAATGAAAGTGCCTGAGTCTTTCATTTCTGCCATCCTTGGCTCGGCCTTGCCCCAAAGACTACGAAGATGGTGGCGCTATGCTTGCAGCAAGGAAAGGGCTGGCCTAGTCCTTGGCAGTGTTCTAGGAACTTGGGTTAATAACTGTGACTTAGATGGCCCCAGTTAAGAGCCTCAGAGAAGTTAGAGTATGAAGTCTAACCCGCCGTTGCATTTGATATGCATCCAATTTGCAGCTCAATTCCTCCCTGGGTACTGAGGGCACGAGACAGTGTAGCTGCTCTGATGGCCCCTAGGAGGGCAACCACTAGCAACAGGTTTCTCTAAGGCCTCTGTTGTTTCCTCTCTCCCTTTCATGGGGAAATCTCATCATTACATCCTCTCACACTTGACCCCAGGGAAGAGGGGGAGCTCCGCCCCTCCAATAACAGTAACATCTGTTCCGGGTCAAATATGAATTGTTCCTAATCATCTAGCAGGTTGCATCTCTCATTTTCCTGTGCTTAGGAAAAAACAAAAGCTCTCTGTGACCACACAGTGGGTGCCAGTAGCTTTGTGAGAAAACAAGAGCAAGCTAGAAGGGCAACCTCCCTATGATGCCTGGGGGGAAAGAGTAGTTGGGGGAAGAATCAGGCTAACGCAGCCGAGTCCTACCAGATAGGTAAGTTACATGAGGAAGAAAAAGAGTGAACTATGCCCAAGGGAGAGGTACACTCAAGGGAGAGCATTAGCGTTAAGTATAATATAGGTATAGTTACGCTTCTCTTCTCAGTAGCAAACAGCCAAATCCAAAGAGAACTCTAATCCAATTTGTTCCAAACCAACATTTTTCATCCTATGCCTTTTTATCAAACAAAAGGCTATGGGTACTCTTCTGAACAAATCATACCTTTTTAAAAGAAATCATGTTATTGGTTCCTTCATTAATTACCGAGTTAAATAAAAACTTTGAAATGTGTTCACATTAAAAAAAAAATCAGGAAATCATTTCACTTCAGTAGGTTTTGAGTTTCGATGAATGCCAATTAAGCTTAAAACACACAGGCAATTCACAGTGAAAATATGCCTGTAGATAAAAAAATAATTTCAGAAGCATTTTCTGGTCTATCAGCAAAAAAATACTTGGCTTACTACTAGTACCCCATATATTTAGGTGACATAAATGAAAAAACTGACAAAAGATTTTACACTAAAAAAAAGTCCCAGCAGTCAGTTGAAATTTTAGGATGTACGTTGGTCAACAGGCAACATAATTACACTTCCTTTATTAACTCCTTGCCAGGAAGAGTTGGAAATACCTGCCTCTTCGCTCTGAAATTCAACGTAAATAATTAAGAGGAGACTTTAAGAGGCCATAATTCAAGGATGCTATCAAGACCAAATGGGATAAAATTTAAGACAGGAATGCTGAAGTGTGATGTACAACAATATATAGATTCGCTAAAAAAAGAAGCCATGTTTAAGTAAGCAATTCATGCAATTAGGGTTTATGAATATAGATTCATTTTAATTCCAAGATTGCCAGAAGTAGAAAATCGCCTGTGACCATGCTCGTTTTTAATCCACAATGGATCAAAAGTCAAGATTAATAAGCAGATCAATTCATTGTATGCTGGTAAGAAGCAACTGTAAAGTCCTCATTAGTTACAAGGGCTCAGGGGATTGGCTTGGCATTGGGAGGGTGCCAAGCCGATTTGTTTAGGAAAATTCTCCAGAGGGGGTCAGTAAGCTTTGGAAGTTGAAGACTTATTCAAATATTTGCTAGCTGAGCAACTTAAAAAGGGCAAGAAAGCAAATGAATCACACAGAACCTTCCGAGTACTATCTGGGGAAACTTCAACCACTAAACCACCCGAGTGGGAAAATGGAATCATTCATTTAATTCAGAAACGTGTATCGGATACCAAGTCCATGTCAAGGGTTCATTTGTATTCTGTACCAATTTTTAAAAGGTTTAATAACTTTAGGCAGAATTTTTAAAATATGTATCAAGTTTACAAATCAGTCAATTAAGCTTTTATTTTTGGTGAATAGTGACCTCTATCTTGGAGATTTTCATATTATTAAAGCAAAATATAGGCTATAAATACCAAGAAGAGCAAACTAAACCCAAACTAATAGCAGAAACCAAAAACAATAAGACCTAGATTTCGAAGGATTCTAAAATACATTGGGGGCCAGCCGAGTGGCACGTTGGTTAAGAGCTGGCTTGGGACACCAGAGGGCCCTGGTTCGGATGCCACATATGAGGGCCAGTGACACTGCCCTCTACAGCTAAGATGCTGAACAACAGCTCAACCTGGAGCTGGGCTGCCATGAGTCGCCGGCGACGGCGACCCTGTGGCAGTGGGTTGCCATGGGCTACCGTGTGTAGCCAGCAGCCAGCGTGAGCGGCCAGCAGCCGCAGTGAGCGGCCGTCCAGAAGCCGGCGACTGATCTGCCTCGCCCGGGAAGAGCGCAATGATGGTGCCAACTTGGGCCAGTGAAGCAATGTCCTCCACAACTAGACTGAAGAACAAAATGACAGCAACTTGTCTGTTCCCCTTCCCCCAATTCCCCAGCACTATTCCCATCCCCCAAATCCCCAGTAAAAATCTTAAAAAAAATAAAATACATTGGGCATCATTTCTTACATGGAATACACTTGAGCACTTCAAAACAACACATAACTAGTAATGTTCATCCACAGAAAACTATACATATTATAAATATTTGTGGATGCACAAACTTAAGAGTATGAGAACATGGGGCCAGAAAATTCAACCTTGAAGTATAATTAATATAAAAGATTTAATCTGCTTATCTTTTATGGCTGTTACAGAACCTACATAATAAGCTGCAATCTGACAGCCTACAGATTTATCTGTCTATAAGTCTCTACTTATACTGGGAGCAAAATGTGTGTGTGTGTGTGTGTGTGTGTGTATACACATGCAAGCACATGCTTTTTGTGGGGGTTGACATATAGTAAATATGATTCAGCAAACTTTGAGAAGCAGAATTACAAACAGTAACCTGGGGAAAAAAATGAAATAAAAAAACAAACAAAAAAACCCCACAAATGATAACCTGGAAAATTCCCCAATATAAATGTATTTATTTGCTTGTAGAAACTGTAATATGTCCTTTAGGCAAATACTTCTAAAAATTCAGAGAAGACCATATTTCAAGTTGCTGTTTCCACTGTCTGCTAATGATGGAATTTTGAAAACTGCAGAGTAGCATAAATTGAAGCATACATTTTTAATGAAGTCCGTATATATTATGTATCTCCTCTCCTGATAATGTCTTTTTCCTCATTTAGGATGATATTTTCTGAGGAGCAGATGGGAAAGGGTAACATGAGAAGCTGTATGTGTATGTGTGTGTGTGTGTGTGTGTGTGTGTGTGTGTGTGTGTGTGTGTGTATATATATATATTACACATACATTTATATGATTATATATATATACCACACACACACTAAAATATTAGCTTAGTGACTGCATAGATTTAAAAATCAATTTGTGAGGAAATCACCCTAAAAATTATAAATAATATATTCATATTCCTTTAAAAGATGGTTTAAAACATGGCAAGAAGTAGTATGTATAGCATATACAAGTCAATTGTTTCTGTGTGTAACAGCAGAAATGTTTTGGTGGGGAGCTCAGCAGAAAATGCAAGGTGGCAGGATGCTGAAGACAAAATGCTTGAAAGAAAATCAATGAATCCATAAGAATAATTAATAATTTCCTCTGGGAATTGAACTGTTTTTATTTGGTTATTTCCTGGCTCTTGGTTATTCATATGGAAAATTCACAGGGTCATAATCTGTGATGCTTTAAATGGTTTGGCCTTTATACAGTGACTATTTTATTTCATAACAAAAATAACAAAAAAAACAGAAAGGGGAAAAAAAAAAAAGAGGAAAATCTTAAAATAATCCGTTTCTCAACCTGAATCTGATGACATTAGAGATCACTGTCTGAAGAGAGGGAATTACATTCGAAAAGGCTATTTTCATACCACGTTGGCCTGCCACTGAAAGCTTTTCTGAAGTAATACATGTTTCTTCCTATATCTTGCACTGAAGAGGATAATTTCATCTTAAAGCCAGGCTTATTTTATTTGCCTTCATGTTATCACTCATAAGGCCCACTGAAAAGTCTCCAAGAGTACGACTGCATTGTCACTGCGCCTGAGGGACGTGATGGTATCTAGGCTGAGCTTCATTTGCTTTGTCGACATATAGAATGTTTGATTTATTTTCAAATAATGCTCAATCCTGTTTCTAATATTGGTTTTTGTTATCTTACCGAAGAAGACAAAGGGCTCCACGCAGGAAAAAAGAAATGTAAGGAAAAGGCTAGTGGTGGTGTTAGGATCGTTCATACTTACGGCAGCAAGACGGGAATGAACTGTTGATCTGCTCCATAACCTCCGTGAGGTCCGTGCTGGTGTCGTGAGGGGGCGCCAGCAGGTCCTCGGCCGCTGCAACAGCAGATAAAAAGAACAGGCATTCTGAAATTAATGGCCAGCCTTCCACCAAAACCCATCTTCAGGAGAAAACGCTAGATCTGGCCTCTAAATACCTAAATGTGCAAATAGTTCTGATAGAAAAGGACAATTTTAGGGGGAAAATACCAAATCCACTTTTGTATTAATTTGTTGGTAATATAATTTTACATATCCATAAAATGTACTAGATATTTCTGTAGAAAAAATCCATATGCCAGAGGAAAATTCATAAGTGAAAAAATATGTAATGTAGTCACATTTTTTTCAATTTATTAGTCGGAATTTAAGTATTTGCATTGCAAGTATATTCTCATATGAGAAAAATATTCTACCAATTTCATTTTCCTTCCTTCTTTTTGTTTGGAGACTTTAGCATAAGCTTGCTTATGCTACCACAAAACTAGAGGTATCTCATAAGAAACTTTATACTTCCATGTTTTTCAGTCTATAATCAATAGCGAAATAATTTTCTTATTTTTTTAAAAATTAAAATATTAATATTTTAGGTTTTCTACTGATTAATGTAGCAAAAGCTATCCCATACACAAATTAATTTGGTTAAAGCATGTGGTCCTCAGCGAAACTTTAGAATTTAAATTTTATCAATAAGAAAATGTCATTCCAAAATGCCTGGTTGACAGAGTTCTTCTTAGCAACAGCGACAGGTCCCCTTTGTGATAAATGACATGCCAGGTGGGGCCTCTGCTTCAGGTGGGGGAAGGTGGGAACGGCAATGTCTACAGGGACTAGGGTGGAGAAAGCAGAATACTAATTCCCAGACCTGGGCAGAGAAAACCATGTTTGGTATAATATTCTTTGGCATTGTATTCTCAATTTGTACAAACATCAAATTTTAGAGACAGAAAAATTTACTAAAATAATAAAAATAAAAAATAAAAAATTAATCATTACTAAGGCAAAGAATTTAAATTGTTGCTCATCCCAAAAGGAAAGAACACTTTTTTTCATCTTTCACCATAACTCAATCCACTGCTACACACTATATATGGAAGTATATTACAGCTATTCTAAAATGTTTGTTTTTTTGGTATTGTTAAAATGGCTTTGTACTCATCTGAGACCAAAGAGAAAACAAAGCTCCTTGGTTCCCTAAAGCACCCATTTGTGAGAAGGTTATTTAAAATGAAACACAAACAAATGGCAAATCCCAGAGAGAATGGGGGCATAGCCAAGTCGTGGGGACACTGACCTGCTTGGTGCAACTGTGGACTGGGGTCTGGGTCCAAGGAGTGGCTCAGTGCAGCTCGCTGAGGGGAAGCCCAGGGGGAAACTCCATTAATTCGGGAATCAGATTCAGGCTGGAATAATCACATTCAGAAGTTAGGGCACAGAAAGGATTCAAATAATTATTAAGGAAACCATTTCCATTTCTAACTTCCCCTCCCCACCATGGGAAATTAAATCATGCAGAGTTCTTTACCCTCAGACACTGTCAAATACATTTTAGCATCAGTTGGATGGATTCACTAGAACTTCACGTGGTGGTCCTTCCCTTTCAGTCTGGGCACATTGTAGAACTCACTTGGTTATATTACAAGATTAATGTATCAATGTCAGTTTCATCCCTCAGTTGTTCTCTCTATTATTTTTATGTCAACCGAGTGAATTTAGAAACATTCATATTGAAAAAATGAGCACTGCTTGTCATACAGTAAATTGATCCAATTTCAAAATCAGCTCATCTTTAAATTTCAATCAATACTTAACAGTAATGTCAAGAGTATGATCTTGGATTCAGATGGTTGAACTCAAACTTTGTCACTCAGAAGCTGTGTAATTCTGAGCAAAGTTTTAAACTTTTGTGCCTCAGATTCTTTCTTTATAAGCTGGGGATGGTAATATCAGTGCCTGTGTCACAGGGTTTTGTGATGTGGTGATCAATTAGTATTTCTAAAGCAATTAGAACAGAACCTGACACCTACAACCACGTGGTCAATGTACTCTCACACACAGCTCTGAAATGGCGATGGATGTATCAGACAAGTACATGCTCAAATTAGAAAGTGTGATCCATCGCAGAGGGAATGCAGAGGTGACAAAGTTTTTGATGCTGGTTTCTTTTCATTAAATTTGTATTAGTTGAAGCCTGGTAGTTTTGCCAGTTTTTTCCTTCCGAGTTGAATTTGTTGTCTTCTTCTGGCATTCATGCTGTCATTAAGGAGAGATAAGAGCACTACAGTCTGGGATACACAGAGCCATTCAGGTATCAGCTATCTCTAAAAGGATTACTGTGCAATTCTGCAGGCACATGAGCCATTAGGCAGCTCTGTCTGATGGATGGAGAGGGTGTGTGTGTGTGTGTGTGCGTGCGTGTGCGTGTGTGTGCGCGTGTGTGTGTGTGTGTGTGTGTGTGTGTGTGTGTGTGTGTGTGTTGGTCGGGGGGTAAGGTGAGCAGAGGAGCCTTTGGCTCTCTGAAGAGCATCCACAGTCTATGGCAAATGAGGTTTTCGAGTGTGGCTGCCTTCTGCAAGGATTCTATCTATGCACTAGGTTATTAACACTAACCATTCATATTCTAAATAAGAGCTTTCAAGAGAAAATTCATTCCTCACACAGGCACCATTCAGAAACTGCAGATTCACAATACTAACACTGCAACTTTTTCCATGTATGTGACTGGCACCGAGGTCAAAATCAGACATTCCAGAGGACTTTAGAGAGCCAGGCAGTGAGTCATTCTTGGGGAACTATTACTTTCTAATGATCAAAGTTTGGAAGTCCCAAAGTATGCCGTCCCCAAAACAGTCTCACACATATTTGGAAACAGTAACAGGTATACAGAAAAGTATATGGTCAAAATATAAGGAGTAATCTGTGGCTCATTATGTAAGTAATGCCCAAATTACACCATTTTAAAGGATGCTAACATGTTAAAAGATACCGAGAGCAACTGGGAAAACATGGTTTTCAAAATTTGGGAAAATCCCTGGAGAGGAAGTTGTTTCAGCCTTTGATTCAATAAATCACTCTGGAGAAAGGCATTGCTATTCAGTGCCAAGGCGCCCCACACTGCAAAGGCCAAAAAAATGGGCAAAAGGTAACATAAATGTAGGATGTCAGGGGCTCTTCAAGAGAGAGAAGTTCCAGGCCCATTTGTTGGGATTCTATACAATATGCATCTGCTGTAAAGGCATCTTCAGTACTAGTTCTGTGACATGATACCTATTCTTTAACTGCTAGATGCAATCCAGTACTTAATAATTCTCTACAGTGTGTTATGTCTTTACATATGATCCATCTTGTTATACAAGGCCTGACAATTAGGTTCACGAACTTGTTGCAACGATGTTGTTAACTTTTTTTTATTTCATTATGAGTTTGTACCAACTGGACTAACAGTTAACCAAATTTACTATTTGGAAGTGCTGAAAAGGCGGCATGAAAAAGTTAGACGACCTGAACTTTTCGCCAACAATTCATGGCTCTTGCATCATGACAATGCACCAGCTCACATGGCACTGTCTGTGAGGGAGTTTTTAGCCAGAAAACAAATAACTGTACTGGAACACCCTCCCTACTCACCTGATCTGGCCCCCAATGACTTCTTTCTTTACCCGAAGATAAAGGAAATATGGAAAGGAATACATGATATTCAGGACATCAAAGATAATACTACCCTTGATGTTCATTCCAGAAAAAGTTCCAAAATTGCTTTGAAGGGTGGACTAGGCGCTGGCATCGGTGCATAGCTTCCCAAGGGGAGTACTTCGAAGGCGACTAGTGATATTCAGCAGTGAGGTGTGTAGCACTTTTTCTAGGATGAGTTCACGAACCTAATTGTCCGACCTCATGTCACATATTATCTTGTATGGTCCTTAACAATACTGCAGGCACCAAAAAGGCAGAAACATATCCCAAAGAATGGTGTTTTTTAAAATTGCAGGCTATTACCCATTGATGAGTTATAAAATCAATCTGGTAGGTTCTTACCAGAACTAAGGACGAAAGATAGAAGGATGAAAAGGAGGGAGGCAGGAAGAGAGAGAGAAAAGAAGAAAGGAGGGAAAGGAAGGAAGAGAAGGAGGGAGGAACGAATGAAAAAATAAGGGCATTTCTTTATAATAGCAATTATTTTGTATTTATCATACATGTATGTATTCATCATAATGTAAATTATAGTTCCTATTGTCAGGACAGTTTTGCAAGCAACTGTCATAATACATGCTAGGAAATAATAGTAGCAAATTAATAAACATCTGTTATTGAATTCCTTGAAAAGAGCTCTTTGGAAGAAAGGCTTTCAATGAAGAGTTCAGGCCACATCCTTTCATCTTCACAGGTATTTCCCATATTTAATTTATGCAGGTATATTTTATAGGCTCTTTTCCCCTGAAATGTTCAGAGCTGAGATCGATTTCAGTGTTAAAGTGGGAAATTCCATCTTAAGCTGGGCAAACACATTCTTCCATGCTAGTGAGGATTTAATGCTTACCTTTGAAGAGGGATTTCTAAGCCAGTCTAAATTAACTGTGGAGGTGAGAAATTGGAAGTGAACCTCACTAGTGATGCTGGGACCAAGCCTCTAGGAGGTGGGCCCAGGGCGAGTGGCAGGGAGAGGGGCGGCACCGCGTTCTGCACACTCTACCTGCTCCAGCAGCTGCCGAAGTCGGTGGAGCTGAGACTCCAGCTGTTTATTGTGATCTTCTAAAATCTGCATCCGAGCCTCCAGCCGCCCTTTGTGCTGCCTCAGGAGTTTTGCTTCTGCTATAAGTTCTGAATCCTCGGACGTGTGATGAGGAGATACAACAGAGTCTGGAGGTAAACCGACAGGGAGCCCCCTCCTCAGGTGCTGGTCCTTTAGCTGCTCATATTCCACCTGCAGATTTCTAATACAGAAACACGAAAGCTGGAACTCCTACTGTGTACATCGTCTTCTCCCCCAGATTTTCTATAAGCTCCAAATGTAGCTCATGCTACTTACCTCCTCCTAGGTAAAAACATTTCTTAACAGCAAGCATGAATAAAAGGGTCGCTTTAAGCAACGATGTCTAACAGACATCATCCTTGAACCCCCAAATGCAGCTGTAAAGCCAGCAGCCCAGCTTGGTAATGCCCTCTAAAACTTGGACTCCATCATGGCTGCTTGGGTAGTAGTTTGAAAAGAGAATGGGTAGGAGCCATGTTAAAATTATTGTTAAAGGATTTCCCATTACACGTTTTCCTAGGATGATATATCTTCCTCTCCCAGGTCTAGCGCACCTCTGTTCCTCCTCCAGGTCCGCAATGATCCGCTCCAGTTCTCCGCGTTCTTCCCTTTCTACCGACTTCAGGATCTGCGCTGGGCTCTGGGGCTGGCTCACCGGCGACTCCCCGCCAAGCGTCTGGCAGTACTGCTGGATAAGGGCATGCTCATCCTCCCTGGGGAGACAGTGACACACAGGTTCACAGCGGGACGTGGTGTCTCTGGACACAAAGGAAGTCGAAACAGTGAGGATGAGGATGGCTGCGGGGCCAAGTCTACCTTAAAGCTCAGTGTCCCATGACCTCCCTTTAAACCTCTAGGAAGATATTTAATAATGTATGTGTATTACACATCCCAACATTTCATGCTTTGCCTTAGTCTAATATGTATATCACACAAACCTCAGAACAGATATTGTACTCGGTAGAGGAGGTTATAAAGTACAATGCATAAACTGTTACTAAAAAAGACATTATAGGCAAAAATCAATACTTGAATGCCAAATAAGCAGATTGAAAGACTCTTAATTAAAAATAAACTGCTATAGACTGCATATATACAAATCCAGGTTATATTCAAATACTATGCCATTTCTATAAGAAGGACTTGAGCATCTGTGGATTGTGCTATCCGAGGGGGGTCCTGCAACCAATCCCCTGAGGATACCAGGGGACTGTATTTGGAGGTGGGGCCTTTGGCAGGTGATTAGGTCATAAGGGTGGAGCCCTCGTGAATGAGATTAGTGCCTTTATAAGGGCCTGAAGAGACCAGTTTTCCCCTTCCACCATGTAAACACAGTCACGTATGAACCAGGAAGTGGGCTTTCAGCAGACATCGTATTTGCTGTTGGCGCCCTGATCTTAAAGACTTCCCAGCATCCAACTGTGGGAAAAATAAATGTTTGTTGTTTGGAAACCACCCAGTCTATGGCATTTTGTTATAGCAGCCCAAATGGACTTAGACATAAGCTGATCTGTCTTTAGTATTTGGTTGAAAGCAATTTTGTAGTGTTTTATAACCCATAAATAGGAGAATATAATCCTCATACTCTTTTACTTACCGTATTTGCCGGCGTATAAGACGACCCCCTAACATTTCCACTCAAAATACAGAGTTTGTTATATACTCGCCGTATAAGACTACCCCCTCTTTCGCACACCTTCCACACACCAAATAAAAGGTAAAACAATATCAGATTTGATTTCAACATTTATATTTATATTCAAATGCTTATGACATGCAGGAAAACTGTCACAAGGCTGTATGTAATCAAACATATACATAAATCGCGATTCGCGATTTTGCGCTATCATACTGGGTGTATGGTCGGCTGTGTGCGATTTTGCGAGTGTGGTAAAATCGCATAACAGCAAAATCGCATAACAGCCGAGCATACACCCAGCAGCGCTGCTGATGCCTGAACGGTATGTGGAATGAAGTGGGCGGGCATCGGGAGGCCACTATGGCATGGGGCAAGCACTATGGGCAGTCTATCTGAAGTGTACCTGGCGTATGAGACGACCCCCCACTTGGAGGCATATTTTTCAGGGCCAAAAAATCGTCTTATACGCCGGCAAATACGGTAAATAACTCAGCACAAATTATATTTCTCAAATGTCTACAGATATTTTACTTGATATTATCAGCATGTCATGTCTAGTATCAATCATTCTTCATTAAAACAAAAACTACATTTAATTCACTTGTACTCTCCCACTTTTCTAACTACTTGTCTAATGAACTAGACATACCAGTAATGTGGTTGAATCTAATGACCGACAGAAACAGAAGCACAACAAAGTAGATAAAATGGATCCGTTCACAAAAGGAAATGCTAACCAGCAGGCCTGGGATCCGTTCCTTCCCTTAAGGGGAGATCCAGTCAGATCTCCTCATAAATGTGCACATTGCAGGCCTCCTGGCTAGTGCTGGCAGGGGAGTCCTGCCACAGAACGCCTTTAGCAAATTGTACCTGGTCTGTTTTGATGCCTTTTGATAAACAAATCCTGGAATGTATGGTTTTATTGGATAGGGCTTCAGAAAAACATCAGTGAAATAAATATACACACAGATGAGTCAAAATTAGACTGGAGATGCATTTTGTTGTCAACGTTTACATAGATTCATTTCTTTGGGGAAGCTGATGGGGTTTAACATATTACTATAATTATCATCATCCCCACTATGATTACATTCTTTCATTAAGGTGTCTTGGAAGGGAATTAAGGCAGTTTCTACAAAAAAACATTTATATATAACTTATAATTTTAGTCTTACATGTGTTCCACAGATTATTAGGCCAAACATTTAAATGTAAAAATAGATACAGTCAAGTTCTTAATTATATATAGTGAAAATGTAGAGCACACCCTTTAAATATAGACAGAATGTGAAGTACCAGATTGGGGTCATTAAACATCAATAGTGTGCCTGGTGCTAAAATGGAAAATGTTGTAAAAATATAGGTCTGCACCAACGAAATACCATTCGATGGAATATAATTACACTATATTTAAGTCACACATAGTAAATACTAGTTAGATTACAAAATCAGTACATATCAGATGACAAAAGAACTGTGATTCATTCAATGGCCTTTTGAAAGTAGGCAAGACATAAATAAAAATAATACTTTCCTTCCTTTAAAGGATTATTCTGTCCCAGGCTTCAGATGTACCAACAGCAGTGCGAGTACAAGCCACACCAACCTCCCAATTTCATCCTTTCACATAAAACCATGTTACTCATGGGCAGACTGCACATGAAGGCATGTGGACTGATGACAATGGCCTAAGTGTCCTTGAGCTCCTGACACTGAGATTCCCCAGGATACCTTGGGTCCTGGCTCTTTTCGAGACATGGTTGCTCAATTCCTTCTTCAAAGAAAATTCATATCCTTAAAATCAATGCCCTTTTAAATTGTCCAGAGTCAGACATTCAGGAGAAAAGGGAGTATTGGGATTTGGGCCTCTGGGGGGCAAAAAGCTGTGAGATTGGTTCACGTCCAGGCTGGGGAGGGAGGTAGCCACTCATGATGCATGGAGGTACAACAACTAACTCACCAGCTTCACAGACGATATCCGCTCTGATGAGCCAGGGGACTGACTCCACAGACCAATTGGACGGACAAAGAAAGCGCCAACTGTTTCTGAAGACACAAATGACTAAAGAGCCTTGGATAACTTAGAGAGAACTCATACCTCAAAGCGAAGGGCTTTCGGTCATTGCCATTGGGCTGAGACCACCCAAACCAAATACAGGAGATTGGTCTGGCAGATGTTAGGTCTAGACTGTGAAGCTGAGGTGTCAGTGAACAATGGGCAAGACAGGGCAAGGTCAGGGATGACCTCCAGGAGGACTGGATGGATCATCGGATGCTCTGACTCCATGCCCTCATTCGGGAAGCCATCACTTCCTGCAGCAGCTGAGGCAGTGGGGTGGTCAGGGGTGGTCAGGAACCTAGGCCTGGAGCTGGGCTGCCTGGGTCTGAATCCCAGCTTTACCACTTACTGACTGTGAATCCCTGGGCAGGCTCCTAACTTCTCAGAGCCTCAAATTACCCATCTGTAAAATGGTGTTAACAAGAACAAGAGTATTATCACAAAGGGCTCTGTGAGGATTAAATAAGCAAAGATGGGCAAAGTGCATAGAACAGTGTCTGGCTTTTAGAATGCTTTGTATCATAGAGGAGATGGTAGTTGTTTTTGCATTATCACCATTATTATTCAAGAGAAATCTAATAACATTTTTATGACCCAGCTCAGAACAATAAAAACCTCAACTCAAGAGGGCCTTGGGGGAATGGTGGAGAATTCAAAAAAGAGAAAAATTCCAAAAAGCATTACTGAAATCTGCTAACCTATACCATTTTTTGCTCAAGGCACTTTGAGTTCGTTTTCATCTTTCCCAACAATAATCAGAATTGCTAATACTTTGATGTTGGTTGGCTCTACAAACCTGAGAATGAAAAGGCAGGGCCAAGGCTGGCTTGAGGAGCACTGACCCCTCGATCAGAAGCTGCCGATCCTGTTAGGTAAGTATGAAAAACTGTCATCTGTTGTCTCTGGGGATTGTATCACGACCCTGTCAATACTGGAGCTTTAGGGACTTTCTAGGGGAGGCCAGAGTGTGCGAGTGTGTTGCATACTGCGTGCTACTACAATTAGGTCCTGTAAGACACAGACAAGCTTTGATATAAGCTGAAAGCAGAGAAAACAGCCCAGCCTCTTGCTAAATAAGTGCAGCCACCATTTCTTCCTATATTGTATGATCCAAGATGCTAAATTATGGGAAACACAGTAGGAGAACCAGAGAAACGGTGAGGCCTAATTCCTGAATTCCTGATCCTTCTTTCACACACCCTGAGGCGTTCCATCAGCCCAAGGGGGGTAATAATCAACAAGAAAAGTTATTTACTGTACTAATACTTATTCGTCTTGTCAACTTAGTAGTACTGATTAAAATGGAAATATTTAAATAAGTCAGCATGATACGTTTAAAGGAGAAAAGATGACTATTCTAAGTCAAACCACTGGATTTTAGGTTCAGAGAAGGGTTTAATGATTCAGAATCCTTGTTAGCATTCTCACCTGAATGGCAGAATCCCTGCATGGTCACAAAAAATGAACCCCAGTATGGTAATTCAAACTGTGAATGAGCTAAGAACTTCCAGAACTGGCTTTCTCAAGATAATATTTATTACTATATTCATTAAGAAAATATTGATGTACCATTGACTGGAAAACAATTTCTCACTGGTGGTTTATACCTTCTGACACTGTTGAGTTCACTTAATCTTACGTTTCAGGGAGAATCTATTTCCTTGCCTTTTCCAGCACCTAGAGGTCACCTGCATTCCTCCATTGTCAAAGCCAGCAGTGTAACATCTGCAAATCTCTCTACAGCTGTGCTCTGCGTCCATGGTTACAGCTCCTCCTCTAACTCTGACTTTGCTCCCTCTTATAAGGATCCTTGTGATTACACAGGGTACACCTAGATAATCCAGGATAATCTCCCCATTTTAAGATCCTTAACTTAATCACATGTGTGAAGTCCCTTTGGCCGTATAAACTGACACATTCATAGACTGCAGGGATTAGGATGTGGACTTCTCTTGGGGGCTATTATTCATTCTATCACAAATGCCATCACCTTCTTCTTCCCCCGAAGGAGCACTTATCTATCCCCCCTCTAGCCTGTGACGTTCATGAGGACTCTATCCATATCTGTAGACCTTTACAGTATCGGGGGCATGGCAGTAGTGTTCTGGTAAATGTTTAACAGCGGGTTTTCTAAAAGATAAATAAAAAGACCCTGATTTGTAGCATTTTCAATTTGTAGGGTTTAAATGCTATCATCATGGCCAATTTAAGCTAATGACTGCACTGAATGTGGAGGTGGGAAAAGATGTATAGTTGCATACCACCTGACAAATACAGTGAGTTACCCCAAGAACATAGATAATAATAAAATGAAGTACATTAGGGTATGATGAGTTTTGAGTATTACCTTTGATTTGATTTTAATCTAATCTATGTAGGTATATATAAACTAATTTTTAATAATGAGTCTGTTTAACAAATAGCTGAAAACTTCTTGAAAATTTAACAACCAGCTCTCACAATTGACTCCGGCACACCATTGCACAGTAGGTATATAATAAATATTGGTTAGATGGATAAAGGAGTTAATACATCTATTGATAGTATATTTATTGAATGGTAGTCAGCTGTTAGTCATTTGATTATTTTTCTTCAGACATCAGTGTTAAATTTAAAAACAATGTTTATTTTAATTTGAAAATAGAATATACTAAATTCGAGCATTAGCTTTGCTCTGTTTACAAGGCATGACAAACACGTATTAAAGAATTTAAATTTGCTGTAAATGACTTTGGTTTCAATTATTATTTTGAACTTTTAATTCTTTAGCTATTGTCAACCCTAGCGGAAATTATGTTGCTTTTGGAGTCTGTAACTACTTTCTATGAAATACATACTAGTAGGTTAAATATGAAACAAGCGTATGACTGTGCTATTATCTGTGGTTTGCGAATCGTTCCACACCCATGGTACATGAATAATAATGTATAAATCACCACTGTATTACTGCAAAGTATTAACATGCTAATCTTTGAAATGTAAAATTGAAAAATCTCCTTAGAATATTTATTTATAAGATTAATGATTGTAAAAATATTTTTAAAATAGTGACAGGGAGAAATTCCATATTAGAGTACCTAAGGTATTTCAACTTGGCTCTCTCCATGGTCCTTTTTAGTATAAAAGAACTTAGTACTATTCTCTACAAGTTTCCCTGAAACCTTACAGATTCCCACTGGATCCTAACCACAATGAAACTGAGTAAGTCAAGTAAACTCGACACTACTGAAATCTTTTAGATGTCATTCAGAATTTAAAAGGTTAATTTCAAGGTGGGGTGGGGGAAGGAAAAGTTCCAAAAGCAAGATGACATACGCCAATGTCAGATAAAATGTCTGCCTAGAGAGGTTTCTAAAAAAGTATTCTAAAGTCAATTAGGCTTTTCTTAGTTGCTAATAAAATCAAATCTTGGCAGAAGAGTTAACACTAGTCAATGAAGTGTGGGGAGCATATGTCCAAGAGCGTGTGGGTCATAGTTGTTAAATGGCTGGGGTTACAGAGGAAATGTGAGCAGAAGAATGAGGATTTAACAATGTAATTCTGTAGAATTATATTGTTAACAAGAAATATAAGATCAGCGGAGTGACTATCTAGACCTGTATTTATAAATAAAGTAATCTGATTTTCCTGAAGCTGATTAGTTGCCAAATGCAGGATTTTTTCATTAACTTAGATAAAACTAAATAAATATACATATCCAGCTTTTACTACCATGGCTCGAAAGCATAAAATCTATGTAGACATTTTTGTAACCACAATTATCAATTTTGATTGGGATCAAAATCCAGAGCCACAGTCAGTGAAGGTTATTTCTGACAGTCATAAAACAAAAAGTAGCCTTCCCAGGAAGCACAGATTTCTGATTTACTTACACACTTCCTGTGGTAGAGCTGCTATCAGTGAGGAAAGACCCATTCGTCCTTTCCATTTGGGCCAGTCTGAAAAATAAAAACAAGGAAGTTATGTAATTGGTCACATGAGGCACAGTCAGCTAGAGGTACATCCTCAGTCAGTCTTCAACTGTGATAATTCTCACAGAACACAGAAAGGTCCAAGTCTCCTAACAGGACTGTGACATTAAATCAACACCTAATGTTGAATTACATTTCTATCATCACTGCCTTAAGGCCTGAAGGCCTGTAACTTACACCAGGTTATAAATGACCTCCTAATTGACCTAGCCTAATTGATCACCCAGACCCCCACGTCCATCTTCATTGTCACAGAAATCTATGTTCCTCTCATGTTTCAAGACTCTCCACGACTCCCCATTACCTAAGGACATATTCCAACCCCTTAGCAATGGGGCCCTTCATTATTGGACTTCAGCTTCTGTCCCTCCACTCCTCACCCCTGACCCTTTCCCTACCTGCAGTTCTTCAGACAAGCCACGTTCTTTCCCAGCTCAATGCTTTTGAGTGTTTTTCCATTAGTCCAAGCCTGCCTTTTCCCAGAAGTTGTACTTGGCCAAGACCCAGTTCAAATGTTACTATTTTTACGATGCTTGAACTAACGTTTACAGGCATGGCTAGTTACTAGCACCTTGGACGCCTAGTATACAATTCTTTTCTGAAAGTTTCTGCATACCATCAAGACCAGCTTATAGTTTATATTTGGGGGGGGGGACTCTAAAACAAACCCCTGTAATAAAGCATTAGGATATATTTAATTATATATTGTAACTCATGTGTACCATCTCCTGCAAACACTTTCAATCCCTACTTTTATTCAGTGAAACTTGAGTTATATTGTCTACATCCTGCTTGTACAGTGTTTGGATTCTCATGAGCTCAATAATCACATGCTATTAAATTCCTCTTTATACTCTTTATAGAATGTGTAGCAGGTGTTTGGTAAAGTGCAAACTATACCATGGGAAGATGAGAGCCCAGATTCCAAATGTAATGGAATCATGGCTTTTTGCAAAACAACATCCCTTAAGTCAAGGCACATTAATGGTATAGGATTAATACAGAAATAGATACATTCTGGGTGGCACTACAGCAGAAGGCTCCTGTCCAAGTCTCTTACCGTGTGGCATACTGTTCTATTCTTGAATGGGTATCATCATGGAACAGCTGAGGAGACTGCGAAGGGCTATCAAGGAAAAAGCAAATCAACACTTTCATACCCACATACTGATAGACATCCCTATTAGAAATGTTAGCTTAGTTAAATAATGAATTTGCCATGCAAAGAAACCACTAGAATTGTTACCCGGGATGCAGAAGTATTGTTTTAGAATGAGAGTTTAGTAGTCACCCCCATGCTCATAAAACTGATCACAACATCCTCCTGTGCACAGGCAGCTGTACATACTCACTCATAGTGCTCTGGCCACATACTGATGAGTGTGATAGGACTGCAAAGAGGGGAGAGGGAAACAAAAGTCACAGAACAAACACTTTAGAGCAAGTCAAGACAAAAGCAGTGGGGGGCGAGGGTGGGGGAACATTTACAATTGTCTTCCTCGGCCATGTTAGGTTGCCCTGAGCTGCACCACGGGGAAATCAAAAGTAACAGAAATCACTATTCTAGAGAAGAGGCCAATATTCAAGTGCCTGCAGGGACCTTTTCACACATATTACAGGATATCTGTTACAGGACAGCAAACACATCTTTAAATAGTTTTATTGAAAAAGAAACAGAATGTTCCAACATAGCTCAAAATTATGGAAACATTTTAAAGATAATGTTCCATAATACACTAAGGGGAGATGTAATCATATTTTTGTTTTTCCTGGAAAAGCAACCTGGTCAGGAGGGTAAAGTTAAATACCAAAGACTATATTATGTATTGATGGCAGAGTCGCAATAAAATTGATTCTTTATCCAATTTTAAATGTAAAACATTCAAATCCAGGCGTACAATAAGTATCTCAACCTCACAGATACACCGAAAAAAGACGCAACCTAGATCTCTCTCCTACACGTGACCAAAAATTTCACATTATAAATAAAACTGAAAGCAACTTTTCTAGATCATGATACGCTTTCTTCAAACAAAATTTTATGCAAGTTCAATCTATGAAACTCATAAAAGAAATGAGTTCTGTTTGAACCAGGGCTTCAGTGTGGACCTTGATCATTCAGTATTACTTCTGGCCCTGAGGGTACCCTCCAACATTACAGCACTGCTAGAATCCCCAAGTCTCCATCTTTTGAAAACAACGGACCCTAATAAAAAGCTGGCTCAAACCCTAACCCTTTTTTTTTGGGGGGGGGGGAGGTGGTGGATGGGAAGAGGGGTTAACGATCAATGTGGAAATTTAAAAGTCTAAAAAAAATTAGTCCTCTAATTAAATACAGTTTCCTACAAAAGCTAATGCTGACTGAAACAAAGAAGGAAAGTTTAAATTATTTTAGCTATACTTGATTTTTCTATTTCTATTATATATACATACATACACACACAAGAAAAATTTAATGATCTCATTATCTCCTGCTGGGAGGCACAACCTGATGTCTGACTAGCAAAGACTAAAAAGAGATGGAAGGTCATTTTATTGGAATAAAAAAGTTAAGATTCTCTGGACCTACTTACAAGAACAGGTATTTATCCAGTGTATGTTTGTCAGAATATCTATAATGTAAATAGACTTAACTATCCATGTATAAAATAGATACAACAACAATGAAACAACAAAGTATTATTCAATTGTCTTTCTACATCAGTACTTTTCATTAACTCTGAAATATGGATGTTAAATGTCAGGTGAATGATTTGCTATATACGTTCCAAAAATTTGTAACTGCTTGAGAGATCATTTCTAAAATTCAAGCATATCATAACATTTGTTGTGAGCTTTAAACACAAGAAAAATACGTTTTTTTAAATCTTTTTTTTAATCTTAATTGAACTTGGAAAGCTTTGCAAAACTGCTTGACTGGTTCTTGTGAAGTTAATTCAGTGAGCACAAAAGTGATTCATTGAACTAAGATAAGAATGGCAGAGTCAGAAAGCTGAACTGAACAGTTTCTCAAAAGGAAGTTCTTCATATATTGAGAAAATTTCTAAGAAAAGAAACAAAGATGAAAAAAACTAAACTTAAGGCTTCATTGACTTCAAAGTATTTTGATTACTTGTAGAAGGGGGAAAAAAAAAGCCCTTAAGTGACAAGCTTTCTCATTTAACTTTGGAAGGAAAAAGGCAAAATTCTCACTGCATAGTTAGAATCTATGATTAAAGGGGGTTCAAATAAGATCAGTATGTGTTGTTAGCCTTGACGTAATCATGCAGCCTATCCCTGCTTTCCAGAGTGGTGGCTGAACAGGGTGTTGGTAAATCACACACTAATATGCAAGGAATCAGACTTTACTAAATATGCTTAATATTATATGAACAATAAATCAGAGTTGCTTTGAAAAGCTTAGTGACTCTTTCAGTGCTTTCAATTCTGAACAGACTGCTCCTTACACTTCCAGTCTTTTGCCTTCTTAAATCCATTTGTCCCAGACCAGGGTAAGTGGGGGTCCCAATGTGCTCTAACATAGAAACCTTCAATGGCTCCCCACTGCTCTCAGGATAAACTCCAGACATCTTGGTATGGCTTATAATGCCCTTCATTATCTGGTTGCTTCTCTCTCCGCTCTCATTTCTTGCCATTATTTCCAGTTTCCCATCTCAGTTTCCAAAACGATCTAGACTCCACGCCTTTGAAAATGTTTTCTCTGCCTTGGAACTCTTCCTTTCCTTCTCCCCCACACCAAATAGTGAACATTTGGTCCTATTAATCTTTCAGGTCTCAGTTTAGCTGTCACTTCCTCCCGGTCTAGTGCTCCCACAACCATAATTACACTTATGATGAGTTGGTTCTTGCTACACTAAGAACTTAAAAAACTGTGTAAGTCATCTATTTCCACCTTAGTCAACATCAGGGAAAGGTGTCTCCACTGATTCTCTAATCTTTAGAAAAATCAACATACCTTTTGAGCCAATAATAATCTCTCACAATTCTCAAAATACTTTCACCGCTATTTTAGCTTGTTTCTCAGGTTTATTTTCAATGGTAACTCTTTCATCAAGCTTGACTCATTTACTTTGATTTTTTTTTAATCTTGCAAAGTTATAACATTAATTGAACAAACCTAGGCATGCATTTGTTTACCTCCTTTTAGTAATAACTCGTTTTTTTCCCGTAAGTCCCTTCCAAGTATAATTACTGGATAGGGCATAAGACATTACATTTTGCAGAGACAAAAGAGTGAGAAGGAAAAGGAAATTCTAATCAGCTTCATAAACAACTTCAACACATTTACCACTTTGCTGGGTTTTCTCCAGTGTTCTCCTTCCACAAATAGGAGAATGAACGAAATTAAACTTTTTTGCTACCCACTCACATAAATTGCTACACCAGAAGATTAAGTGGCCCTGTACTAGCAAGGGCTCAGCAGAAAAATGAACTATACCAAGTCCAAGAACACGTTTTAGGATTGAAAATAGAAGAAAATCTGCCCACTTTATCTAGTAGCTTATAAATCTTTTTCAAAATGCATCTTGTGACCTTTGATTTTTATACTCCTTCCTTTCTTTCTCTTGTTTTCCTCTCACTGCAAATGCTGGTAAATTCATATTAGATGAATTGAAACATTTTCCGAGTTATAGCCAAAAATCATGACACAAAATTATTTGGCATGCTCTTCTGTTCTATTTTACTTTAACTGAGGCAGTCAGAATAGAATGATTGATGTCAATGATTATTTTGACACTAAAAGGCACATTATCAGAAATTCTTAAAGGAGTATTAAAGATCTATCGGCACGATTCATAGGAAGGACATAAATATTTGAGGTACAAAATGCCACTGGTTTATCCAATGAGTGGTGTGCCCATCACTAGTTCAACCAATCAAATTTCCTATCAATAAAAGCACCCTGTGATCATTCTATGCTTTAAGCAGCTACTCCAAAGGTTAATTAGATCTGATACCAAGAGTAGTAAAATTTTGTCTTTATCATGAGGTGTTCAGCACAATTAAACTATATATTAGATACTCAGGCAAATAAGAATGTATTATCATACAACCGATAAAGAAAAGGACAAAAAACATATTTACAGAACAAAGTGAAGACCAAAAATCTCCCTTTCCTATGGATTTAAGTATTTGAATAGCTCTCTTTAAACTGCAATTGCTTCAGTAAAATTTGTTCTAAAGTGTACTGTGGAAAAATGACTGGGAGGCATATAATTTAATTGTACATAGTTTGATACCAAGCAAATTATCAAAAAATTTGAAATTTTTTTCATATGCTTTAAATGTGTATGTGGTATTTTGGGACCTATTTACATATACAGCTGCGTTATATTTCTTTCTGTATGCACACCCATAATATTACATACAAAGGTATAAAGACATCCAATATGCTTTGGCTGCAGTTCCACAAATAAAAAGAAAAATTTCATTTGCACATAAATATAGCCAAGTTCCTGATCTACAGAGTTTTATATAGGAAAATCATTCAGACCAAACAGTCTATCCTTCTAATTTTGACATCTTTGAGACATACACTAGACTATACAGTCTATCCTTCTAATTTTGACATCTTTGAGACATACACTAGACTATTACTGTCCTCTGATTATCTCTCTATGAGATTTGAAGGTTAAAGAAAGTTTGACTTCACACAAATATTGCACTTGACACACTTTTTGTACTTCTTTCTACAATTTTCTCTACTGTATAACATAGAAAACTCCACGCTTCTCGCTTCTGAGCTAGTCTTCTAGTCATTGGAGAGGGCATCTTTCTGTAAGGAGAGCCTCACTATTATGACTAGGCACTCTGGTGATGATTAGCAATAAAAGTTAATTTTCCCCAAGATTCAAACACACACAAAAAATTACTTTGGCAAGCACATTGATGCTCATATTTTAAAAAGTGATTCAAAGAGTTACAAGCACATCTATTTTGATCTTGATGTGCAATTGCTTAGTAATTTAAAATTACTTTTTGTGTTTGTTCAGCCTCACCTTCAAAAATCTTTTTTTTTTTCATTTCAGGCTATAAATTATTATTTTCCTTTGCTTTAAAATCCCATAAGAATTTTGGTCCCTTGAAACTGTTTTATTTACGCTTGTAAACTCAAATTATATAATTTAAATAAATTTGTCTATTTCATGTACTATATAAAGTTATCTTACTTTGTTGTCATCATGTTCAAGAAAAAAATATTAGAACTGTAATGTGAAATTTTGATGCGATTCTAGGCTAGGTATATATCTGAACCAAGAGATTAAGTAATATTAATAAATTTATATCAAAATTATATAAAATAAGCATGAAATATACTATAAGAAATAGCAAAACATCCCCCAAAAGGGGGAAATGGAAAATAAATACAATAATGACAGAGTATATAATACCACCATTTGCTTTAAGTATTTTTAAGAGGAAAAGAGATGACCAATGCAAAGGTTGACGCATTAATATGTATTTTTAAAGTTTAGGTGCATGTGCAAAAATTAATTTTAGCTGTGACATTGTCAAAAGCAAACACAAATTCTTTTTGGAATCAGACCATTTTCTTGTTTCACTAACATAATAAAAGACAATATCAGACATAAGAATACATAGATGTTTTAATATTAAAATGAAACTTACGTCTCCAAGTTGTCACCTTCAAGAACTGTCTGGACAGGCAGGTAGCCAAGCCGAGGATGTTTGGCAAAGTATTTCTTTGATCTAAACTTATTCTTCAGCACCTTCGTGAAGTCTCGTACGTCTTCTCCAGATGTTGTCTATAAGGTTGCAAAAATTACAGTTCTCTCATTAAAATGGAAGGAGATAACTATCTACAGTAAACGAGAGCAGATGTAAATTGATGCAAATAAATGACAACAGTTTCAGTAGCTTTATGTATTTTTGGAAAAACACGCAATGTCATGAAAAATACATGGCAATCGGGGCTCGTCATTAAATATCCCCAGCAATTAGTTTAGAATTTTTTATTTCCTATTGAAAATAAAGCATAACTAGCTCATTTGCCCAATATTTTAAAATTTGGGCCAAAAAATAAAGTTAGTTTTGGCAATGTTATTGGCTGATTTCTATCACTAAAAGTGTTGCAATTTGTTATTAAACATTTAATGATGACAAAGTATTATGGATATTGTATGGTTTTGACCAAGGTGAAGAAATGAGGGAGAGCTATATAGCCTATACTGATTTCACACAAGCTAGCATATACTGTAGTATACAAAAAGAGAATATAAATAAGAGAGAAAGAGCAGTGAGTGCCACACTGGTATTCTATATTGTAAGGAATACTGTCAGTTTCTTTGTCCTTACCCGGCCATACAAACATATAATTTTGACATGGACTAAAGTTTTAATGGTGATGTGAAATGTTACTGTGTCCTTAGCATTTCAAAATGATTACTTTCAATAATCATTTGTTATTAAGTGATAAAGAAGCCAGTCACAATAGAACACAAATTGTGTGATTCCATTTCTAAGAAATGCCCAGAGTAGGCAAAGCCATAGAAACTGAAAGTAGACCAGTGGTTGCCAGGGGCTGAGGGGGGAAGACTGGGGTGGAGGGGGTGTGACTGCTAACGGGTACAATAGGTTTTAGAGGTGGGCTGAAATCTACCTCAATGCCCACCCCCTCATCCCATTCCATGAACTGTTCTCTAAGCCCCTGTTTTCTCTTCTATCATCAACCTTAATTTTTATTTGCAGTATGTTATACTGACATCAACTTCAGTCTTTCTGAAGATGTCTTTAAAATATTGATATTATCCGCACAGAAGTGAATTAAAAACTGATTATCTGACTCCCGGTTGGCTATCAAATCTACAACTAGAAAGACCTCACTCCAATCTCTTTATAAAACAAAACCAGGGAGCTTTTCTATAATAACAAACTGGGTGCTAAATACACTGGCTTACCTGCTGCCTGCCTTCTTTTTCTCACACCCTCCCCAGTCTACCTATCTTTTCCTTCATGACAATCATGCCCAGGACTCATATAAAAAAGTGTTTTGCAAACAGAGGCTTACAAAACATACTTATTTTTTTAAACAACTAAATTCTAAGCCAACACTTAGGTAGCTGTGTTCCTTTCTACCAGGTCCTAATTCCACCTGAATATGTCTGCTTCTAGCAAATAATAAGGGAACTTTTGATTCTCTAAGCTTACAGAGCAGAGAAAAACATGAATAAGCCCAAGCTATTCATAATCTAAAGTTCATCAATTTTCACTTAATTAAAAAGAAAAAGTATATTAAGGACAGCCCATGTCGTCACCATGCCTTGCCATTACACCCACAAGGTCAAATCTTTATCTGAGTATCACTGATAATAAACTATACAATAGCATGCTGTAGTTCTATGGATACAGATCTCTCCAAATGTAAAAAAGAAGTGTAGAAAAGAAGCTATTAATGAAAAGAAAAGGAATCCAAAGCACTCTGTAGAGGAAAAAGGGTTGCTATGATAGGTGATAGTTTCGAGGTGTTAAGATTTAAGCAGGCAGAATAGGAGAAACAGCAGAATATAGTTGGGCGTAAAGAAGGAAGTGTTTAGAGAAAGAATACCTGGGCTAGAGAATAAAGCCAAGAGGATATCACCCACTGTCAAGGCCATTAGGGTCTTTTACAATGGGTCTCACAACTGTAGATCATGCAGTTTCTAGATATGTCCACCTGGAATGTTTTGACATAGGAAAAAGAAAATGGGAAGCTTTCCACGATGGAAACGAAAATAAAGAAAGCCCCTATGCAAGGACAAGCACTTGTGACCCCATTTATTTCTATGTCTGCTCTTAACACATTGTTAATCTACAGGGAGATAATGAAGTAATGGGCTCCAGCTTTTACTCGGGCCTTCTCCATCTGGCAACATAAAGATTTTCATCTCTTACTTAGGCCAATGTTTTTCAAGCCATATCCAGGTTTTCAACTCAGGCAGCTCTGAGAGGGGTGGGTGGGCGAAAAGACCACATGTACTGGGCCACTCACCCAGTCTGACTCAGTCAGGACAGTGCACAATACAGTGGTTTTTCGTATATTCACAGAATTGTGCAAATATCACCACTATTTAATTCCGGAACAATATCACCCTAAAAGGAAGCCTGTATCCATTAACAGTCATTCCCCCTCCCATACCATCTCCACCCTGCAGCCCCTGGCAACCACTAATCTACTTTCTGTTTCTACGGATTTGCCAATTCTGGATATTTCTTATAAATAGAATCATACAATGTCTGGTCTTTTGTGACTGTCTTCTTTCATTTAGCATAATGTTCTTCAACCTTATCTATATTTGGGTTTCAATATGAACTGTCGCTTGGGAAAAAAATGACACGTCATTAAAAAGTGCAAATCCTATTCCACATCATATATTCTTTAGGTTAAACACATTCAACACATGCAAGAACAAAGCAAAAACAACCAACCATCCAACCAACCAACAAACAACACCTACCTGCCTCCCAAAAAAGTTATACAGCAGAGGCTGAAATAGAGTTTCTAATAATGCTCAAATTTAACATTTGAAAAAAGTGTATACTCATACAAAAATGGCACATTTTTATTTCCTCATCACTTTTCATATCGAGGGAAGAAAACTACCACCAACAGTTGCAATATAAAGGCACTAAATTCACGAATGCCATAAACTTTATGTAATATTAAAAGAAAAAGTTAAAAGTAATTCACCGCATGGGAGCAGGTATTATATTCAGCTTAGCAGAATGTCATTCTTTAGTTGGGACGGAGTCAAGAAAACGAATTAAGCCTATTTTCTCACCAAAAAAATTAAAAGATAGTCATACATATTTGGTCAAATGTGCTATCTAATGACAGTACCTAATATTTCTCTGTTTTAAAGTGCTAGAACAATGGTTTGGTAAAATATGAAAAAGAAGACCACTCACCTATCATAATATAATTTAACTCAACCCTTCCTTCGCACTAAGCATATACTTTGTTCTTATTCTTTTCTAAGCAAATAACTATTTATCTTATGATATGAAGGTGAAATTGAAAGGCTCACTCATTAATACATAAATTATCCAACATTTTAAATTATCTATGCATTTCTTGAAAGGTTAGGTCTTCATCTATTGCTATAAGAAAAGAAAGAACAAAAGATTTTTGCAGATCTCATTAGCTGAAATGAGGGTAACGTATTGGCATAGAACTTTGCACCTTGTAAATAGCTTTCCTTCAATCTCATTTTACCATCAAGGGCAGTGAGATTATCATCACCTTTATGAACCATAAGGAAACTGACACTAAGGCTTTCAGAGATCCAGACCTACGAAGTCAGGAAGGGGAAAGCTGTGCTTGCAAACTTGAGGCTTTTTACCATTCCCGCACTATGCTCTCTGTCCTAGAAAAATGAGACACTTAAGTTTTGTAAGAGAAAAAATACACAGCCATTGACTAAGTTACCTATTCTGGATTTTCCCTTCATTTTAAATAGAGTACTGCCAAGATAACCATGGCTGTTTTTTACAAAATTTATATTGAAATATCTAATCTACAACTAGATAGAGCTCACTATCTAGAGAAAAAAGGGAAAAATTAAAATTGCCAGCTCCTCCATCACCCAGAGATAACCACTCTTAAAATGTTTGTAACTGGATTGATTTTTAAAATTCCTTTTTATTGTAAAATAAAACACAGACATATAAAACTATATACAACCAATGCATGGCTTAATGAATTCTTAGAAGGTGAATACCATCGCTTAGGAAATTCAGCTTTGCCAGACATTCCAGAAGCCCCTTCCCCAAGCCTTGTTCCAGTCATAACCCCTCCCCACGCGCCATAAAAATATTATCCTCAGTTTTATAAGAAATAATTTTTTGTGTGTTTTAAAAATCATTTTATCACTCCAATGCCTATCCTTAGATGCTGTAGTTTAGTCTGATGCATTTTAAAAATCTGATGTATTTTGAGTCACCTTTAACCTATAGGTTTCTCCTCCATACCTGCCATTTCCTTACTGTTAGAAAATTCAGGCAATTAATCTGTAGAGTTTCCTAGAGTCAGTATTTGGCTGATTACATATTCAGCATGTTTCTCAGTCCTTTGGATATTCTGCAAATTGGCAGCTGGATCCAGAGAACTCATTACACTCTAGTTTGATGTCATGGAAAGACTATGAGTGGTGTCTGGTAGGACTGCTGGAGGCCCATCACGTCTGATCCTCTCTCTCTTACGTGATCCTAGCAGCTTCCATGCTAAATGCCTATATTCATCTGATGGGGGCTTCCACTGGTGCTTTCTAATTCTATTATTCACTTTCACTGATTAGTTGAAATAATTTTATAAAGACAAACCCCCACATCTACTGTTTATTCAGGACAGTTCATTCAGGAAAGGTAGAATTATATATAAAATGTTTCCCTTTTATGGACCAATTTTCCCAGTAACGCACTGGTTTTCTATCAACTTCCAAAGATGACCAACATTTTTTATTTTTAAATATCATTATGAATTCATAGTTTTAACATATTTGATAGGTTTTCATCTATTGAAATTACTGTCATTACGAAAGCTCAGTTTGTCCCATCTTAGGCCAACGGGAGTCTCTTCCAGGGTGCCCCAGTTCGTGCACAGCGATGCCAGTTTTCCTGTTTCCTTCACTAGATACAAGAAGGTTTGTTTTTCTGGATATCCTTGACTCACGTATTTTTTTTTTCTTGAGTTTCTTAAATATGCTCCTCCATTTTCTTTGGGTGTAAAGTGCTGCTGTTGAAAAGTCTGATGATTATTTAATTTCATTTC